CGCCTTACACAATTGTGAATGCTAGTGTATATAGGCTCAGTTTGACAATTTAAAATAACAGTGAAATGACATTACACTACATAGTTGGGACATGATTTGACAATGAATTAATTTGACAATGAGAGGACGTGACAATGAAAAAGTTGTGATATGACAAAATATTGAATAGACTAATAAAGTTATGAGATTGCTTCACACTAATTAGGACATACACATAAAAGTCATACGCACAAATAGTTGGACACTGATTACATTTGTGCGCGGTGATTTTCGCACAATAAAATAAAGGGACAGATATCTCATTTGGTGAACACAAGTATTGCCTAAAAATTTGGTGATCCCGAGCTAAACGGTGATGAGAAATAGTGTAAGGAGTAGTGATGAGTAACTTTTCCAGAGTCCGCACAATTCCGGTCTGTCAAAATAGATTCTACCAATCAAAAAAGAAGGTTAGAAGGGCGCCAGAGCGTTTTTCAGCGTGATTACTCTGATGATCAGGTTAGTACGTGAGAGAGGAGAGGAAAACCACTGTTCTATTGCTTGAATGAGAGTTGCGTACCTTTGCTTTGAATTTTAGAGAGCTACTTATACCTCCATGGAGGTAATCATTGCTGGTAGGTGGACTTTTTGAAAAAAGAGTCCCACATTGGCCCATTTGGAATGCAGTGGGCGGCATTTAGTTCTTGAACAGAGCACCTTCCATTTTGCGTGGAAGGGGTCTAGGCAGTAAATGATCAGGCTCCCGAGTACTTAATGTTCTCCCTTCTAGACTTTTTGAACATTAAATATGTCTCATCCTTCTAAATGGTTATTTAATGTTTCTTTGCAATGGTTACGCATGAGGAGGGACATCTTCGTTTATTGGCCCCTGATTATGTGCTTTGTGCCACATGCAACGTTGTCATTGGTCATGAGTCTGTACCCTCTGTCATTTTGACTGCTTTGGGAAAACAAATCAATGATTATTGATCAAGTTTAACTTCAAGTAACGATACCCGTCATTCTGCCACCCCTGCCATGGGGCCCTGGAGCCGGGATGACGTGTTTAGAAATAGACCTCAGGGGGTCTGTTACTTCGAGGACACGTGTCGCAATAAAAAAGCCTCAAGGTGACGAATGCCTATGACACGTGTCACTCGTAGATGGCATTGAGGGACCTTTGGTGTCGAGAACATGTGTCACTTGCAAATGGCGCCGAGGGACCTTCGGTGCCGAGGACATGTGTCCCTCGCAGATGGATCCGAGGATATTTTGCACCGAGGACACGTGTCTCAATTTGAGCAATTCGAGGGGATGGACGCCGAGGACACGTGTCAATTCATAGGGCTTCCACATTTCTCATGCCGATGACGCGTGTCATTTTCCTGTTGATTCTCAGAAGTGTTCCATCAACATTTATTAATCTTCATCAGACATATGCTTATCTGATAGATATTGTTTATTAGACAATCCAGTAGATTGTTCAATAGTTTTCAACTCTCTTCCAAATGTAGTGGCCGTCAGTTGGTAATTAGATAATATAATATTGACACTCACACACCATTATCCTATTATTTTCTTTTCGTACACATTTAATTACTGTTTCGTAGTCCACTCTATTCCTTTGTTGTATGGTAAGTGAAAGTCTATATGACACCGATATGTTAAGTTCTCTTAGATCTGTGCATAGTGAGTATGATTCATTAGCACGAAAAATCCACTCTCGTTGGAGTCCGGTATAATACTCTTTTGGATTAGAAAATCTCTTATTCTTGCAATCATCATTTCATTCTTGTAACAATCAAACTCGTTGATGTCTACGGCTGTTATCAATGATAGACGGTATTTATGTAGACATAATGTTCAATACATGCAATATCAACCATCCTTATTATGTTTTTATAGTGGTTTCAATGAAAGATCGTTACATAGTAAGGTTTTGGTCATTGTGTTTAATGTAGCAATGTGTAGTCATTTATTTTGTCGGATCAACACATTTGTCATCTATGCAGTACTGTGCACTCACCTTTTTATTTGAGTTGATGGTCATACATTGAAATAATAGTTCAGTCAGTGTGACTATACACTGTTACCTGTCAATGTGACTACACACTGAGACCTCTCATTCATTGAAGGTACTAGACCTTGATTCACACTTCTAAAAGGACAAATGCATCAGTGTTTTGTCATTATGACTACACACGTCACCTCACGTCCCTTCTGTATATTTAGTCAACGTCTATGAAACATTCAACAATATCAGGGTTTTTAATCATGGTGTTGCTTGATACTGAAAGACATAACTACAATGCATATATTGAGAGTAAGAGAGAAAGAAATGATGTTGCAAAATGGCGTTCCTTGGACATTTATGAAAATTTTATGAAACTTAAATCTTATACCAAATCTCAAACAATTTATGGAATCGTTGGTTCAACTGACATTTTACATTGTGAGCAGAGGTTTAGATCATCTTAAAAATGTTATTCCAACTGACGTTTTATCTATAAAGACATCATTTCAATTGACGTTTTTAAAAGTACATGGGTTTGGGAAATACTTTCAACACCGCTCGATTTTGGGTATAAGTTCCTAAAACCATCTAGATTTGGCTGTAGGTTCTCAAAACCGCCTAGTTTTGGGTAAAAGCTCGACTCATTACACATAAGCTTATTTCCACTTTAGTGTGGAAATGGATTCATCACAAAGAAATAGACAGAATGAAAGAGCAAAATGAACACATCAAGCTTAACTCCATTGAATAAATGATTTATCTCACTCGGTATGTATATACCTTTTTTTTTTCACCCAAAAGCATTAAAAATGTGCTTCCATATATGCTCTAAAGTACTCAATGTCTCTATATGCCTAAAGTACTCAATTTCCATATATGCTCTAAAGTACTCAATTTCCATGTATGCTCTAAAGTATTCAATTTCCATATATGCTCTAAAGCACTCAAATCGTCATTTACAATTACGTATTTTACTTAAAAATGTCATTTACAATGACATCTTTTACAAATAGTTGGGTTTAAGAATTAGTTTGAAAACAACTCTCCTTTGAGTATAAGTTTAAAAAAACTCATGGATTTAGGTAAAAGCTCATCCTAGTTGATCCAAATTCGGCATTAGAAGTATATTAATTTTTTCCCAATAATCAAATACTTTTGTCTGTAAATACTGTATATTTTTATTACATCCATAAATCTATTTTTTTTCCTATGAATTCTAGTTTCAATAAGAATGTTAGTTCTTGTTGTTCCATATATTATTGATGATGCTCGAAATTTGTGGTCCAAGCCCAATGGAGAAGATTGAGAAGTTATTAGAAGGTCGGTTGATTAAGTGGCCAGTCAGTTGTGGTTAAAAGAACACGAAATGTGAGTGGTTCTCCTTAGTTGAAGGACTAAGGTTATGTCCACTGTGAAGGGAGTCTCCTGCTTCTTGAGGCTGTATATTGCTGAGTCTTTTATGGATACAATGGTGGCGAGAATACTTGGTTCATGCAAGGGTACAGTGCTCTGTTCTAGCTACTGGGTTCTTGGTCTGAGGGTGTTAGTATGAAGAAAGAGAAAAAGAAGATGATCCTTCTTCTGTTGGGTAACAGTTCTTTATTTATACAATGATCCTCTTAGGGTTTACTGCTGCCTCTCCTCATTCTATGCTGATTTCGTGGGTCCTCCCTTCTGCAGCCTGCGACTTCCTTTGTCATCCGAAGGCACTGTTCATCCGGTGCCACTGTTCCTACGATCTCTGGCGATTATACCCTCCATCTTTTCTCTGCTCTGCAGCTGTCGTAGGTGTCAGGAGTGGTCCTTGAGCCTCTAGGTTACGTGGTGCAACGAGAATGATTCAAGGAGAGTATTTGGGCCAGGTTTCCTTTGTGGGGCTACTCATCAACTGGGCCGGATTGGGGTTATGTGTATAGTGAGCCCTTTGCTGGTGTTGGGCTTTCCCCCTTCGGCTCAGCCCTCTACACCAAAAGATGTGGCCCAATTGCGGGACTCATATTTGGATCACTTTGTAGTGGGCTCATGAAGGCCCATGACTCAGATTTCGCCCTCATCAAATATGATATGAATATACCATACCAACTGCATAGTTGCGGGTGTGTCTGTTTGGCTTAACAGTTTGGTCACATGAGGTATAAACATGCACGGGATAATTCCTGCAACAGTATGAGGCAGCGATCTCTAAGCTGGCGAACTTGAAACAACAGGGTCAGGCGTGTGTATGACTTATCCCCTCCGAAATTTAAGTCAGTATCAAATCGAAGGGTTTTGCTCAATGGACTATTTTTATGGTTCCAATTTGCGTACATTTGTCCATTTTTCTGAGGAGTATTTATACTTGAATTAGTAATGATTGCCAAAGATCTCCAGTTCTATTTGGACATTTTACATCTAACACACTATTCCTCGTGCAATGAGTGTTTTATATTCACGTCTCCTCCTATTGAATGCTAGGAAAATGGAATAAATGCTCGGCCATGTGCCGAGCATTTATGCCACTCCCTGAGTACCCAAATCCCCTCGGGGGGGAACAGTTCCTTGGGAGAGCCGATCGCGTCGTCTCGGCGCATCAGTCATTAATGCTTAGCTATCATAACAGTAGGCTTAGACTCCCAGAGGACAGATGCTGGCAGACGCGTATTTATTTGTCTTGTCACTATCACTCATTCCGTCATAAATGAGAGGTCACATCACATTAAATACGATATCAGTTATCGTACTTGACTGCTCCGTGTCACCACACCTCGGCTCACCTTCTCGGCACCCTTTGGACATCCTATCGGTTTCATTATTCCACGTGTCAACCCGGGGCTGTAGAGCCGCCTAAAGTCCCGCCAAAACATATTTGGGTATTCTCCCTCTTCCCAATTCAGATATGTATAAACTCGGAACCTGGTTATACAAGAAGCCTAGCTCGATTTGATGTGAATCTTCGGGCCTGTCATTTGGAAAATTGCTTCAAAGAAAATTGAGTGTGTTCTGCTTGCCGACAGAAGTTTGGTCCTGGATGGGCGGGAGAAACGAAATATCAATGCAGCCAGAGTCTTTTGCTTCTGAGAAGCGCAAGTCTTTGACTGAGTTGACATGTGATGGCCACCCAAGCAGACCATCAACTCCATCTAGTTTTGGCGTAAATTCTGTCGTTGCTTGCAGATCGTCTTTACAAGACAGAGAAGACACGGTTGAAGCTGTTAGCAGAGTGACTTCCCAAAATGAGTTGGCTGTACTGAGGAGTTTTGTTTCTGGGGTAAAACCTGGAATTTCCTTGCATACTCAACAGAAATTAATATGCGTTTTATGCTGTTAGAAATGGTATTACTGGTGTATCTGGATATCAACTTCTATGAGAAACAGGGGAGGCAAGACAATACATGCCAACAGGATCCGTGTCCAATTATCTATTTGAAATGGAAGAGCCACCAGAGTCTTCTCAGTTGCTTGGCATGGTTTCCTAAAGTGACACAAAATCCATAAACCCACCGCACCCATAAATTGTATCGATTAATGATCTATGTCCAAAAGTTCAGGTGGATTGCAATCCGGCAACGTACTTGTCCTAGATGGATTGGAGGCTCCAATTCACATACACCAACTGAATTAGGCCTTTCTGGGAAGTCATCTTGGCAGGCAGGTATTCTCACAGCGTCATAGACTATGCTCTCTTCCAGGCCCACCTGATTTGAATGCCAGATTCCAGGCTCCAAGCTTACCTAGTTAGCAGCCAGATTTAGCATTGCAGCTCTTAGAATAGGAATGCCATCTTTTTCTTAACTGCAGCTTCTTGGAATAAGAGAGAATTCAAATGCTTGGTTCTCTCCTTGACTAGAGTGACTCTTGAACTGTGTTTCTTGTTAGGTTCAGGAAGATTTTTATACAGATTAATGTACTAGAATTTTTAGGCTTAAAACCAACGAATGTGTTTGTAACTTTGGAATTAGAATTAACAAGATATGTGATGAACCACTTAACAATAAAACCGAAACATGTTGGGTAATCTTTTTGCTATGTCAGTCAAAAATGCGAAACCATGCAATTCCATGTCCTTACATTCACACTCATTGACAGACAAAAACACCGTCTTCTTTTGATATTTCAATATTGGCATAAGGAACTCTTTGCAAAGTGGTCAGAGACTCATATTTCTTCCATGGTCAGAAAAGATGACATTTTTATTCTTAAAACCTAGAACTGATTTCTCATTCCTTACTCATAATTGGAATTGCATTTCTCATTAAATTGTTCCCAATAACGAACACACACACACACATATCTAAAGGTGACACTACAAGGGGTTAAGAGAGAGAGAGAGAGTACTGATGGAGGTGATAATCTTTGTTATTTTCACGTCTTAAAGTTGCAAAATTTGTCTTCCAAGTCTTTTTAGTAATCTTAAAAAAAAAAGGTCTTTTTAGGTCATCTGGACTTCACAATTCCAAGAGAAATTAAATTAATCAACGTGGATAATCAGACGGAAACCCAGAAAAATAACATTAAATTAACTGATAATTTGGGACGAAGTTAGAAATATGAAGACCTTGAACAAAGCCAAGCCATGTTGAATGAACACCAAGGCTTTAGGTACATGTACATAAAAGAATATGTGTATCGGTTGACATGGATGATTTATTTGGTGGTTGGCAAAGAGTGATCGGCTAGTTGCATGATCTATATATGCTGGTGGCTATGATTCATGAATATTCAACCATGACAAATACAATATTGAGAATGTAATATGAAAACGGTTAGAAATTTTTCAAAAATAAAAAAGGGTAGCTGCCCACTTCTTTTCAAGAGATTCAATCCAAATCAACCTCACTAAAAAAACATTGAACAGATGTAAAGACGTAAAATATAAGTGTTTGATCCGGGAATGTTAAGCCACATCACAACACAGACATTCTGCACCAGGGGGAGCTCAGCCATTGATGAACAAGTCATATATAATAACCAGCATTTACCAACCTGTTCTCTTAAATATGAAGGTCCTATGATTCTGCTACAAAGAATCAAAGAATAGAGAAATAAAAAGTTCCTAAGTCCTAACATACAACAGAATTAGTAGAAGAATCAGATTAAAAGGAGGAGTAAGATTAAAAACTATTCTATTCTTTAGGCCGGTCTATATTCCTTTCCTATATGCTTTGTGTACCACCCTTACACTCCATTTGCAGCTTGCCCCTACATGAAGTTGAGCCAATATCTCCATTTTTTTATCAGTCTAGCATTACCTTGTGGCGAAACCATCCTAGAAAGTTGGAATCAGTTAACTGAAGAGTTTGAACCTCTACTCAAGTTCCTTGACGTCTCCCTGGATCATCTCTGCAAAACCATGCAGTACCCGGATGGTGACTAGCCCCCGAACCATCTCTGTGCCAACTCTTTCAACCCATTATCATATACTTGACAAAATTTCTGAGGCCACCCCTGTGGCTCAAGGGGTGTATACCCTAAGCCAGGAGTCCTGTCATTCGAATTGAGATTAGTCCTTAGTGTCCAATCCACAACATAAGCCGACACCCGTCTCCTAAACTTGGCCTTAAACTCGGGCCACGCCTGGAACTTATAGTGATTCACCACCATCTCTTGAATGCTAATTTTCCTCGTCCTGTAACCTTCCTTCAATCGAAAATGGTGGATCACGTTAAGCAACGAGTCATGGACGGCCTCCAACAACACTATAGACTTATGCCGGTTCTCCATTTTCCTCCGACAATTGTACCCTTGCATCACTCCCGATATTGGATTAGACAACTGATTCGATGGCCCGAATTCATGACAGCCAATTATAAATTGCCCAATAAGTGGCTTCGATGAAGGCACCAACAATGAAGATGATGATGACGACAACGACAATTCTCCTCCGTTACGATTGTTTGAGTAACTTTTGGGCATTTGCAAATAAGATTGCAACATGGATTTAGAGGGTTTTGACGAATAATTGGACCATGAAGGAGAGTATATGAACTCATCGACATCGATGAATGTCATCCATGTACAAGAGTTCTTAGCATACAAAGCACAATGAGAAAAACCAGCCTCTTGTGTTTTAGGCCAAAACCAAAGCCATGTATTCAAATCATAACCCTCTTGGACAAGCTCTTCAACAACTTCCTTCAAATCATCATCGCTGTCATTATCATACAATATGAACTTATCAACCCCGATTTTTGAATGATAGATAACCCATTCTTTCAAGAACTTGGCCACGTTGTACACCATGGTACATGCGCACAGCAGCGATTTTTCATCCTTCACGGCTACCTTGCGCGCGGGTGTGTAGTATGCAAGCGAAGGGAGTACCAGGTTTACGTCGGAATTTTCGATTGAGACTTTGATTCTCTTCTCGCCAGAAGGAGAAAGGGCCGTCAAATCCGGGCGTTGACACCGGAACACTTCTTGCACTGAGCTCGTGACAGCTGTTCTCACGCCGTTAATTTCGTCATCACCAAAAACGCACTTGAACCCTTTTGGGTCTCGATCACTGCCTTGGCGATTGTTTAGGCCTTTTACGAAGACAACGACGTCGTCTTCGGTGGTAAGAGAGTCGTACACGACATGATTCCACCGCAGCAACTCCGGTGCCGGGGATTTAATCTCGAGCGGACTCTCCTTCGATTTGGTCAAAATTGGCTGGCGAAAAGGCAATCGACGCCGGACTCTCTTCGGTAATTCACACGTGAAAATCGTTCTATTAGGAAAATATAATTCTCCAGCTGGTTTCGCCGGAGAATATACGTTGTTTGGAAAGAGACAAGTAAATTCATTTATATCTGACGGCAGCGTAGTCTCCGGCGACAGAATAACGAGGACTTCCCAACCCGGCAATAAAATTGAGACGGTGGAGATTGACGACGATGATGAGGATAAGGAGGAAAACACGTCGTGACCAGTGAGGTGAGGGATGGTCTGGTGAGTGAGGTTTTCATGGATAGCGTGATTGGCTAGGTTGGGTTGTGGGCCTTTGAGAGGGACGGAGGGTGGACGGAACTCCTCGCCGGAGATGAAATCGCGAAAAAGACGGTGAGAGATAGAGGCCAAGAAGGCGATTAAGACCAACACGTAAAGAAAGGTCGTACGGACATTTCGGGCCATATTATTGGAGAGAGAGAGAAAGAGAGAGGGAGAGAGGAGGGTGGTTTTTGAGATGGAGTTGTAGTTTGTTTGGGAAGCTGGAATGTGGGTCAGATCCAGGGGAACGATGGCTTGTCTGTATGGACATGAACCTGTGTAACTATGGGAAGAGGAAGGGAGAGAGACAGACAGAGTGCGTGTAGGAGGTCAATGAGAATTGAACGCTGATTGGGTGGAATCGCAGTACGATTAGCAGAGATGATGTCAGAGGCGGCGTTTTGCTTGATTATGTGTCGACCTCCTTCATACATTCCCTTCTATTGGAGATTGATGCCTTTTTTCCCTCACTTAAGTTCTTTTTTTTTTTTTTTT